CGGGGGGAGGTGGGGTTTATAGGGTTCCGTCGTGGCCGGCGGCTGCTGGAGGGGGTACAGGTGGTGGTGGTGCGTGGTGGTCGGTGGTGGTAGGTGGTGGTGGCGGATCGTGGTGGTGGTGGTGATGGTGGTAGTGGTGGCCATGCAAAAACTGAGAGTGTCGATAGAGACCCCCTGGGGAGATTGGTGATTCGCCATTTTGAGCTGCTGGAGGTAGAGAGGGGAAGAAGAAGGCGTGTGGTTGGGTCGGGTGAGGTGGTAGGTGGTGATGATGCAGAGTGGGCGACGTTGGGTGGTGTGGATGTGGGGTTTGAGGGTGTCTTCGAGGGGCTGGGCGGAGGAAAGGGTATATTTGGTGAAGACCAGTGGGCGGAATGGGTTGGGAATGGGAGTTCTTGAAGTTCTAAGGCGTGCCGCTTCGAAAGGGCCAGGTGATTCATAGAGGTACTTAAGCCGATAGTTTGCCATACACGTACCCACAAGCAAGCGAGGCGTGGTATGTAAGAATCCCACTATCACTTACAAGGCCACAGATTGTAGCCCTAGCTTGGATGCCGTATACTGAACCGAAGTACTAGACGGTTCTACCACTAGGTGCCGTTGCTTCCATGCCGTGGCATATGTCCTTGAGATAGCCCAACAATACAATTCGTCATTTGTACAGCCAACCCCTCTTGCTGTCACAGAGCACATGCTGACATGGCAGAAATCCAAGCCTCACCTGAAACACGACCAATGTCGCTTCTTCGCTGACGGCACGGGGTCCCGCTGCCAAGTCGGACAGAGGACAAACTTGACAAATCTGGGTTTAGTGAACTCGTACCCCTGACAGCCCGAGGCTTCCAACTGAGATCCTTCAAGCCGCAATCCCATTAAGTGATCCAACCTGGGCACCATCTCTCTCACCGTCGCTTTCACCAACACTTGCGGTGCAAGAGGAAGAGACTACCAGCCAACCATCAATACCATAAGAAGAGAAAGGTCCAAATCTCCAACCCGAGTTACCCAACAAGCAAGCTGTCCTGGGACTGAAACCAGAGCTGCGTAATTCAGCCTCAGCCGCACTTGGGCTTATTGTTTTGGGGCGTCCGAAAAGTGTGGTGATCCGGCACAGGCAGAAAACGGCAACCTCAAAGACTGCGCATTCCGACAGTCTTTGAAGTCGGCTAGTTACTACTCATCCGTAAGTAGAAGCCGCCCTTGAGTACTCACAACAGTCATTAACCAAAATAACAGCAAGAGGCCAAACATTCAGCAGTGACCCAAGCAGTGCCCCAAGCATCCAGCATTGCCCCTATAGTCTCAGCCGCACTAATTGTCATTCTCATCGTCACAAAAACACAAACACAAACGCCGAGATGGGCGCCACAGACGACGGGCACGAGATGGCGATGCCCGACATCCCCATCTACCTCTACATCATCTCGGGGCTCATGGTTGGCACTCTGGTGGGAACGCAGCTCCTCGGGGTGTGGCTGACGGGATTCAAGAAGCCCGTGGTGGTGAGGGGTTTGTTTGATCCAGACACCGGGAGAATGAGAAGGTGATGGGTGGGTGTGCTTGCAAGATGATCTGGGAGGGGATTTGAAGAGGGCCAGGACATCTATCTACCTATGAAAATTGTGTGAGGGAGATGAGGATGAGATGAGTGGATTGAATACCTAGACGGTTCTCGTTACTCATGTAGATGAAGTCCAATTGTGGACTGGAGTATTTTATTGATGTTTTTGTTGTTATTTAAAAAGAATCACTACCGCTAACCCGTACCCATGCACACACGGTGCTGCCCATCAGTTGCCTTTAGCTTCACTGCCGCCAATACCAGTACCACTTTCCACCATCCGACACCTTCGAACCCCAAGAACTGGAGCTGTCGGAGCTTCCGTACTCGGAGTCGGTGAGGCTGGACTCGGAGGAGAGCAACGAAGTCGTTTCCGTCGGCTCATCCTCCTTTCCCTTGACCCCGTCGCCGTGCTCGGGATCAGACTGCGGTGTCGACGGTGGGCTGGCGGGTTGATGGCTGCCCAGGATGACGAACCCAATCATGAGCACACTGGTAATCAAGAAAAAGATCATGATCGCTCCTTGTTGCTTCATGATCGGGACGTCGCCCACCGGGGGAGTCTGGGCCGGGGCGGTGCGGGTGGTGGGGACGGCAGGCATGGCGAGATGGCCGGTCGATATTTGTGTTGATACTTGATACTAAATGAAACACAGTTAGCACTTCTAGCAACTTACATATGAATACCATCTCTAAACTGACTTGCTGGACGCGGCACTCAATATCTCCGGTACTGGAAACCCCTTTATCAAGATCACCGGGCGAAGCACCAACGATTATTGCTTAAATTCGAACAAAGAACACAAAGTAAATGGGCTCGTTTAATATCAGATTCTTAATATTTCTGTATCGGCGACGCATATGATGCCGCCCAAGACAGGATTGATTCATGAACAACATCAGGATACCCAACAGTCGCTTTGTGGTAATTCAAAGGGGAGAGGGGAGCACAGCCACATACAGTAAAGCTCTCCCTCCGCCCAACGGATGCGCGCGTCTCGGGTCAGGTTGCACGAGGCTGCTCCGGGCTGTGTCAAAATGGACTAAGCGGTGCGGGCTGTACCTTGTAATCTGCGGGCTGATCGGGCTGTTTGAGAGAAAGCCTCGCGAAGTATCCGAGTAAGCAAAGGGAGAAAATGGATGAAAGTGAGGAGTGAGGGGATACTCTGGGTATCGCTTTATGCGCCAGATTCCAGGCACGGACGGAAAATAAGAGTCACAAAGTGAGCTCGCCACCGTCGTGTTGGAGTAGAGGAGGTGCGGGAGAGGTCACGCGATATGCCAAAACGCAGCGCTCGGCCATGGACTGGGATCCGCTGATAATATGGAAGCAGGAAGAAACTCTGGAGGTGGCCTAATCTGTGGCCTCTAATCCCTATCAAACTAGATAACGCACGCCCACGGACCTGTCCAGCGTCAACCTCCCAGGCATCACCGCCAAGTCTACCCGCCCATCCAGTGCCTGTCTCCCCAGTACCCCCTCTCCAACCCATTCAGACTTTTACCTGGCACCGCCGGGCCCCGACCTTGGTTGATATCTCCCCTCCCTAGAACTGCGCCATCACCGCCATATGCTGCTGTTGCATCTCTCACCATAACGATAGGAACCACCTCTTCCCGCCCGCGCCCAATATAAGAACCCCCCCTTTCATCCTCACCTCCATCAGCCCCCCACTCCCGCCCATTCCCACCACCCTCCAAAACCCCACTCCCTCTCTCAGTACCTTACCCGGTAAAATGGAGTCCTACGAGGCCGATGCGCACTTGGGAGCTGCCGTGAGCGCGAATCACAGACAGTGCTTGGTGGCGGAATACCGCTTCATTGGTTATCCCACGGCTTAACAGAAAGTGATGCCAAAATCCCCGGACGAACCAAACCTTTTCGGCACACGGGTTATGACAGTAACTAT